TTTCTGGATGGGTTTGTAGTAGTCTTTATAGATGACATCCTTGTGTCCTCAAGGAATCGAGAAGAGCATGAACGACATTTGAGAATGGTTCTCCAGACCCTGAAGACAGAAAAGTTATATGCAAAGTTGGGGAAAAGTGAGTTTTGGCTTCCAAGCGTGATCTTCATTGGGCATGTTATTTCAAAAGACGGGGTCGTGGTTGACCCTTGTAAGATTGAAGCCATACTAAAATGGGGAAGGCCAACGAATGTGATCGAAGTCTGTAGTTTTCTGGATTGGATATTGTAGGCGTTTTGTAGAAGGCTTCTCAAAGATAGTACATCCCCTAACTCGCCTAACCTGGAAGGAAGTGAAATTTATATGGTTAGATGATTGTGAGAAGAGTTTTCAAGAATTAGAGAAGATATTAACAACGACCCCAATGCTAATCTTGCCCAAAGGAAATGAAGGCTTTGTGGTCTACATTGATGCTTCTCATAAGGGATTGGGGTGTGTGTTAATGCAGTACGGGAAGGTTATAGCCTATGAATCTAGACAATTAAAGTTGCAAGAGCAAAATTACCTAACTCTTGACTTAAATCTCGCGGTCGTGGTCTTTGCCTTGAAGGTTTCGAAGACACTATCTCTATGGGACCCAGTTTAAGATATTTACAGACCATAAGAGCCTCAAGTATTTACTTTCTCAGAAGGACTTGAGTATGAGGCAAAGGAAATGGATGGACCTACTGAATGATTATGACTGCACGTTCAATTACCAACTGGGTAAGACAAATGTAGTAGCCGACGCTTCAATAGCACATTTGATGGCCCGAGAGATGGAACTGATAGAAGATGCAGTGGAGTGGCGCTCGACACTACCCTCTTGTTCTAGATTAGGAATAACTGCAGGTATAAGAGTGGAACCTCAGCTCTTTCAACAGATCAGAGTAGCCCAAAAGACAAACCCCTAGCTTATGAAATTTTGAAAGACTTAAAACAGGAAAGAAAGGATAATTTCTCTGTTAGCAGTGGAGATCTATTAAGATTTAAAGAATGAGTATGTGTTCCAAATGATGAAAATACAAAGAGATTCATTTTAGAAGAGGCACACCACTCCTGTTACACTGTACACCCAGGAAGCACAAAAATGTATCAAGATTTAAGGAAAATTTTCTGGTGGAATAACATGAAGAGGGACGTGGCACAATTTTTTTCTAAATCTCTAACCTGTCATTAGGTAAAGGCTGAGCACCAGAGACCTACCGGGCTATTGCAACCCTTGCCTATGCTTGAATGGAAGTGGGAGCACATCACGATCGACTTTGTGCTGGTTGCCAAGATCAGGCACTAGACATGATAGTGTTTGGGTTATCGTGGACAGATTAACTAACATTTCTTACCAGTCTGCACTACCTATACCTTAGACAAACTGGCTAGGTTGTATGCCAAGAAAGTAGTAAGGCTTCTTGGAGTACCTGTTAGTATTGTGTCCGACAAGGACTCTAGATTTACTTCAAGGTTTTAGAGCAGTCTGCAATTAGCTTTGGGGACAAAACTCACTTTTAATGCTGCTTTTCACCCTCAGTCCGATGGACAGTCGGAAAGGACCGTTCAGATCTTAGAAGATATGTTGAGGGCCTGTGTTACAGACTTTAAAGGAAATTGGGACGATCATTTTCCTTTAATAGAATTTACATATAATAATAGTTTCCATGTCAGTATTCAAATTACACCTTTTGAAGCACTGTATCGGAGAAAATGCAGGTTGCTAGTGTGTTGGGAAGAAGTCGGCGAAAGGAGAATGTTAGGGCTGAAAATTGTTCAAGTAACATCAGAAAAGATCATCCTAATTCGAGAAAGTATTAAAACAGCTTAGAGTCAGTAGAAGAGTTATGCCGATAATCACCAATGGGACCTTGAATTTGAAGTAGGTGATAGGCTCTTTTTTAAAAGTATCACCAATAAAGGAAATTATGAGGTTCGATAAGAAAGGGAAGCTAAGTCCGCGATTCATCAGACCCATTGAAATATAAGAGAGAATCGGAGTCGTGGTATATCAACTGGCCTTACTGCCTGAGTTGGCAAATATTCATGATATCTGCCATATTTCACTAATGAAAAAGTACCAGCTCGATCTATCCCACGTCCTGAAGTATGAACCAATGCCAATCAGAGAAGACTTAACTTATGTTTAGCAGCCCATCAAGATTCCGGACAGAAGTTTTGTGCAACTAAGAGATTCCTCTAGGCCGGGTTTTATTGTAGTATCATTCGAGGGAAGAATCAACTTGGGAGCGAGAAGAAAAAATCAGGGCTATGCACCCATTTATTCGATTGACGAATTTGAGGACAAAATCTTTCTTAAGGTAGGGATGATGTAAGGACCAATGTTTTCTTGGCCGTGGAAACACGCACGGCGGTAGGAGTCTAAAAAGAAGAGGGATAACACTATCAACGAAGGGAGAAGAGAGGCATCACCGTTTGGAGGCATCGTCTCTTGGAGAAGAGACGCATCACTGTTTGGAGGCATCGCCGGTTGGAGGACAGAGGCTTCGTGTAAGGACCCAGGTGAATGCGTGGCGATAGTGAGCGCGCGGCAATAGTGAGCGCGCGGTGATAGTGAAGAGCACATGGCAATAGTGAAGAGTGCGCCGCGACAATGAAGAGCACACGATGATTGTAAGCGCAATGATAGTATAGAGCATGCGACGATAGTGAAGAGCGTGTAGCGATAGTGGAGAGAGCGCGGTAGTGTGCACGCGGTAGCATGAACGCAATGCCGCGAGTGATCAAGGGGCATCGCCGTGTGCATAACGCCGGCTACGGCACTGCCATGCATGTTTAGGTGCTCGCCACTTGTCCAACTGCATGGGAGTTGGTTGCCACCTGTCAGCTTAGGCTGCCACCGGCCACTTGAGGGGATACTTAAGCTCTTCCCTTTCGCTTACGTCCTTGACTTTTTTTTTCTCTCTCTCTCTCTCTCCAAGACATGTTTTGGGAAAGTCCACTCCCTCACTTTGGAGCAGCCATGGTTGGAGTTGAAGGACTGTAGAAGAAAGATTCGAGGGCACCATTGTTGGCCTTGTAAGTGGATTACTATCCTCTGGCATCAAGTTGTAAGAGAATGAAATTGAAAGTATGAGATTCAAGTAGGAATCTCCATGAACAAAGTGTGATGTTAAGCATGCATGCTGAGTTCTGATTTCCGGCAATGTGATCTTCTTTGCATGATAAGTTGGGTACTGTTATCACTATTGTGGATCCTAAAATTCTGTGGAATGATGTTTGTGTGAGTCTAGTTTAAGATAGAAAAGGTTTCATGTTGTTAGCTTGTATGGATTTGAAGTTATGGAGTGGCCTTTGGAATGTGTCCCGAGTGTATTGTAATTTTCCAGGGAACTTACATGCCTTTGAAATAAGATTTTGACTTACCAATGATATCCAATTAGCTTAAAATCACCACCATTTGAAAGGTTTATGAGTCTATTTTGAGTTTAATGCTTATGTCCATTTGAGATTCTTTATAGTTTGGAAGATGTGTTTCAATTTTTGCTCATATGCTGTGATAATTTCCAGGAACATTGCTTCTTTTACACTGAGACTTTGCTTGGCCTATTGAAGTCCAAATGACATGAAACCACAGCCATTTGAAAGCTACTAAAAGTATTTCAAAGTTCCTGCTAGGATGCAAGCTATGATTTTAATTGTGAACAAATGTCACTCTAGGCGAAATTCAATAAGATTCAAAATGATACGTTGTACCCTTAATTAATTAAGTAATGCTCAGTTATCAAATTTGAATCAGAATTTAGTTAAATTCCCCTCATAATTTGAGTGCTATGCGTCATTCTGTATGTGCCCATAATTGATAAGAACAATAGTGAATGTAAGTTGTATATGAGTTATGTACATGTCATGCATCAATGTTTCTTTTGAACATAGCTCAAATCCTTTTGCATGGTGATAAGACACCGAAATTGCATGCTTATGATCCTACGAATGTTGAATGTTCCTGAACTCTTGAAAATAGTAAAGTATGAATGAATTATGCATGCTTATACACGGTGCAACTGATATATGTGATTTCTTGCCACTACGCAATGGGTCCTCCATTGGTAGTGGATACAATGTTTTTGTTAGATGACTACTTATATCTGACTACTACGCAATGGGTCCTCCATTGGTAGTGGATACTCTATTTTTGTTATATTAATACTGATATTTGACTACTACGTAATGGGTCCTCCATTGGTAGTGGACACTCTATTTCTGTTATATGAATAATGATAACTGACTGCTAAGAAACGGGTCCTCCATTGGTAGTGAGGGATACTGTACCTCGATCCATATGATAGGAGTGGAGTCAAGAGGTGAGTGTAAATAATAGGGAGGGTCGCACCCCCCTTAAATTTTCTAGGAACCACGCATTGGGTCCTTTAATGATAGTGTAACGCCCTCTTACTCAAGAGCATAATAGAGGGTCGTGTCTTGCAACGCCTCAGCTTATCGAAAGCCCCAAATCGTGCTGAGAATGTGTGTGTGAGTAAGGATGGTATAAAGTGGAGCCTCCTCTTGTCATTATCCTCGCCGTTGAATGAGGGTAGAAGTCTCAAGTTTCAGGATTGGCTTAGTCTGATCAATGTGGCTTCTACTTCGGGAGTAATTTAATATATTCTGCTTATCTAAATTTTGTATTCCGTATGAACACCTGACTGTAACTGTGTTAAGCATAACGGTTGATGCCATATTGAGAACAAGTAATGCTCTGTTGACTGAGTCTTACCCTTTCTATACAGAAATTATATATACTCTAAAGTATGACAGTACTTTGAGTTCTTGGCTTAGAGAGTTTAGAAATTTCTTTAGAGTAGTTTTGGTATATTAGTAACTGAGTGTCTGTGTCTTAGGTTGAAGCTGCCGAGGATGCAAGCCAACAACGCTAGTTTTAGTAACAAGAACACCGAGGCCCTCGGTGAGTTTGTCAGAACCTTAGGGGCCATGACACATATGATGAGGAGGCAATGCCGGCCCCGTCTACCCCCACCCCTGATCTAAATGATGACAACTTCATAGAGAAGTTTAGGAGGCTGGCTCCTCCGAATTTCTTTGGGCTTGGGAGTGTAGAGAAAGCTGATCAATGGAGAAGGCAAGTAGAGAAGATCTTCGAGGTATTACAATGTACAAAAGAACATAAGGTCAGATTGGGGACCTTTATGTTAGAGGGAGACGCTAAGCACTGTTGGGGCTCAGTGAAGCAGTCCTGGGAGGAAGCAGGGACGTAAGCAAATTGGGGAAAATTTCTTGGAGCCTTCAACGAGAAGTACTTTCCTGATTCTGTGCGGGAAAGAAAAGAAGTAGAATTTATTGAGCTGCAACAAGGGAATCTAACTGTGGAACAGTATGCAGCCAAGTTTACCTAGCTGTCGAGGCATGTACCACATATCATCAATACTGACACGCGTAAAGCAAGTAAGTTTGAGAGGGGTCTTAGGTCAGACATAAGGGGGAGGGTGATATCGGTAAATCTTAAACCTTCTCCCCATTGGTGGACTTGTTCATGAAGATTGAGAGGGATTGTGAAGAATCTCGGGTTAGAGGAAACTGTAGAATGGGCCCAGCCTAGTTTAAATGTTTGGAATGAAAGGCTCGACATCCTCCAAGGAGGAACTTCAGGGGAAGAGATAATCTGAGGGGTAAAACGAATCGGAGGACTTTGCCAGGCGACATAAGGGAGAACCGGCGCCCAACGTGCTGACATTGCGGGAAAGATAATCACTTAGCGGCTGATCGCCAAAAGGAAGACTGGTGCGTGCTTTACGTGGGGCAGGCCACGCTACCAGATTAGGGATTGCCCAGCTAGGGGACCAGAGAATCTGCCAAAGACTCAAGGTCGGGTGTTTACTCTTACTGAGCAGGAAGCTAAGGCATCAACTTTAGTTATCCAAGGTGCGCTCTCCATTTATGGCATTGACACAAAAACCCTAGTTTATCCTGGATCTACACACTCTTTTGTTGCACCTCACTTTGCATGCCACATAAATGCTAGACCTTCCTTGCTTGACTAGACATTGGTAGTGTGCACACCTATGGGAGAATCTTTAGAAATTGATACTATTTTTAAACACTGTGGCACTTTGCTTGAAGGGTGTGTGCTGCCTATAGATCTAAGATTGTTAGATATCCCAGACTTTGATGCTATTTAGGGCATGGACTTGCTATCCACATACCATGCTACTGTAGATTGTTATGATAAAATTGTAAGCCTCAAAGGATGCTTCCCCTCTGCATTTTATTTCGGCTATTCGGGCTTCCCTTTTATTAGCTAAAAGATGTGTAGGGTTTCTAGCTTACGTAGTGGAAAATCGGAATGACCGGTCTAAGTTAGAAGAAATACCGATGGTGAGAGAATATCTAGAGGTCTTTCCTGAAGAGTTAACCTCTTTGGCCCCAGTCAAAGAAATATAATTTGAGATAGATGCGGTCCATGGCATTGCCCCCATCTCTAAAGCCTCTTATAGGATGGCCCCAGCTGAATTAAAAGAACAATTGCAATAATTACTAAAGAAGGGTCAGTTGTTGCCCTGGGGTGCACCCATCCTGTTTGTTAAAAATAAAGATGTATCTTTGAGGTTATGTATAGACTATCGGTAGCTGAACCAGGTCATTGTGAAGAATAAGTACCCCTTGCCAAGAATTGATGATCTCTTGGACCCACTCCAAGGGGCCCAAGTATTTTCTAAGAATGAACGTTTGGTCAGGTTATCATCAGGTACGAGTCAAGGAAGAAGATGTCCCTAAGACTGTATTGCAGACTCGTTATGGTCATTACGAGTTTGTAGTAATGTCTCTTGGACTAACTAATGCCCCGGTCATTTTTATGGATTTGATGAACAGGGTTTTTAGAAACTTCCTTTATGAGTTTGAGTAGTCTTTATAGATGACATCTTGGTGTACTCAAGGAATCGAGAAGAGCATGAACGACATTTGAGAATGGTTCTCCAGACCCTGATGATAGAAAAGTTATATGCCAAGTTGGGGAAAAGTGAGTTTTGGCTTCCAAGAGTGACCTTGCTTGGGCATGTTGTTTTTAAAGACGGGGTCACGGCTGACCCTTGTAGGATTGAAGCCATACTAAAATGGGGAAGGCCAGCGGGTGTGATCCAAGTCGGTAGTTTTATGGGTCTGGTGTGATACTATAGGCATTTTGGAGAAGACTTCTCAAAGACAGCGCTTCCCTTGAGTCACCTAACCCAGAAGGAAATAAAATTTATATGGTCAAATGATTGTGAGAAGAGTTAATAAGAATTAGAGAAGAGATTAACTACGACCCCATTACTAATCTTGCCAAAAGGAAACGAAGAATTTGTGGTCTACACTGATGCTTCCCATTAGGGATTGGGGTGTGTATTAATGCAGCACGGGAATGTTATAGCCTATGGCTCTAGACAATTAAAGCCGCATGAGCAAAATTACCCAACTCATGACTTAGAGCTCACGGCCATGGTCTTTGCCTTCAAGGTTTGGAGACACTATCTTTATGGGACCCAGTTTAAGATATTTACAGACCATAAGAGCCTCAAGTATTTATTTTCTCAGAAGGAGTTGAATATGAGGCAAAGGAGATGGATGGACCTACTGAATGATTATGACTGCACCATCAATTACCAACCGGGAAAAACAAATGTAGTAGTCGATGCTTTAAGCTAAAAACCCTTGAGATCACTAGCACAACTGATGGCCCGAGAGATAAAACTGATAGAAGATGCAGTGGAGTGGTGCCCGATACTACCCTCTAGTTCTAGATTAGAAATAATTATGGGTATAAGAGTGGAACCTCAGCTCTTTCAACATATCAGAGTAGCCCAAAAGACAGACCCCCAGCTTATGAAAATTCTGGAAGACTTAAAGCAGGAAAGAAAGGATAATTTCCTTGTCAGCAATAAAGATCTAAAGAACGAGTATGCGTTCCAAATGACAAAAATATAAAGAGAGTCATTTTAGAAGAGGCACACCACTCACGTTACACTGTACACCCAAGAAGCACAAAAATGTATCAGGATTTCAGGAAAATATTTTGATGGACTAAAATGAAGAGGGACGTGGCACAATTTGTTTCTAAATGTTTGACTTGTCATTAAGTAAAGGCTGAGCACTAGAGACCTGCCGGACTATTGCAACCCTTGCCTGTGCATGAATGAAAGTGGGAGAACATCACTATAGACTTTGTGTCCGGTATGCCAAGATCAGGCACTGGACATGACAGTGTTTGGGTTATCGTGGACCGATTAACTAAGGCTGCACATTTCTTATCAGTCTGCACTACCTATACCTTAGACAAACTGGCTCGGCAGTATGTCAAGGAAGTAGTAAGGCTGCATGGAGTACCTGTTAGTATTGTTTCCGATAAGAACTCTAGATTTACTTCAAGGTTTTAGAGCTGTCTGCAATCAGCTTTGGGGACAAGACTTACTTTTAGTACTGTTTTTCACCCCTAGACTGATGGACAGTCGGAAAGGACCATTCAGACCTTAGAAGATATGTTGAGGGCCTGTGTTACAGACTTTAAAGGAAAGTAGGATGATCATTTATCTTTAATAGAATTTGCATATAACAACAGTTTCCAGGCTAGTATTCAAATGACACCTTTTGAAGCCCTGTTTTGGAGAAAATACAAATCGCCAGTGTTTTGGGAAGAAGTCGACGAAAGGAGACTGTTAGGGCTTGAAATTGTTCAAGTAACATCAGAAAAAATCATCCTAATTCGAGAATGGCTTAAAACAGCTTAGAGTCGGCAGAAGAGTTATGCCGATAATCACCGAAGGGACCTTGAATTTGAAGCAAGTGATCGGGTCTTTTCTGAAAGTGTCACCAATAACGGGAATTATGAGTTTTGGTAAGAAAGGGAAGATAAGTTCGTGATTCATCGGACCCTTTGAAATATTAGAGAGAATCGGAGTCGCAACATATCGACTGACCTTATCGCCCTATTTGGCAAATATTCATGATGTCTTCCATATTTCACTGTTGAGAAAGTATCAGCTCGATCTGTCTCACGTCCTAAAGTATAAACAAATGCCGATCAGGGAAGACTTAACTTATTTTGAACAGCCAATCGAGATTCTGGACAGAAGGGCTCATGTTTTGCGCAACAAAGAGATTCCTCTAGTCCGATTTTTATGGCAATATCATTAGAAGAAAGAATCAACTTGGGAGCGAGAAGATGAAATACAGGCTATGTACCCCCATTTATTCGATTGACGAACTTGAGGACAAAATCTTTCTTAAGGGGGGGATGAAATAACGATCAAGGTTTTCCTGGCCATTGAAACACGCACAACGGTAGGAGGCTAAAAAGAAGAGGGATAACACCATCTGTGATGGGAGAAGAGAGGCCTCACCGTTTGGAGGCATCATCGCTTGGAGAAGAGAGGCATTGCCGTTTAGAGGCATCACCGCTTGGAGAAGGTAAGCATCGCTGTTTGGAGAACAGAGGCATCGTGTAAGGACCCAGGTGAGCGCGTGGCGATAGTGAGAGCGTAGTATAGCAAGCACGTGGCGATAGTGAGAACGCGGCGATAATGAAGAGCGCATAGCAATGGTGAAGAGCGCACGACGATAATGAAGAGCACACAGTGATAGTAAGAGCGCGCCGATAGTGAAGAGCACACGACGATAGTGAAGCACGTGCGACAATAGTGGAGAGAGCGCGGCAGTGTGCGCGCGGTAGCGAGATTACAATGTCGCGAGTGATTAACGGTCATTGTCGTGGGTATAACGTCGACTACGACACTGCTATGCATGTTTAGGTGTTCGCCACTTGTCCAGCTGCATGGGAGTTGCGTGCCACCCGTCAACTAGGGCTGCCACCTGCTACTTGAGGGAATACTTAAGTTCTTCCCTCTCTCTCACGTCCTTCACTTCTCTCACTCTCTCTCTTTCTCTCTCTAAGACATGTTTTGAGGAAGTTCACTCCCTCACTTTGGAGCAGCTATGGTTGGAGTTGAAGAACTGCAGAAGAAAGATTGGAGGGCACCATTGTTGGCTGTGTAAGTGGATTACTACCCCCTCGCATCAAGTTGTAAGAGCATGAAATTGAAAGTATGAGATTTAAGTAGGAATCTCTATGAACAAAGTGTGATGTTTAGCATGCATGTTTGAGTTATGATTTCCAGCAATAAGATCTTCTTTGCATGATAAGTTGGGCACTGTTATCACTCTTGTGGATCCTAAAATTCTGTAGAATGATGTTTGTGTGAGTCTAGTTTAAGATAGAAAGGTTTCATGTTGTTACCTTGCATGGATTTGAAGTTATGGAGTGCCCTTTGGAATGTGCCATGAGTGTATTCTAATTTTCCAGGGAACTTACAAGATTTTGAAATAAGATTTTGCTTAGCAAATGATATCCAATTAGCCTCAAATCACCACCATTTGAAAGGTCTATGAGTCTACTTTGCGTTTAATGTTTATATCCAATTGAGATTCTTGATAGTTTGGAAGATGTGTTTCATTTTGTGCTCATATACCTTTGTTAGCAGACTGTGATAATTTCCAGGAACATTGCTTCTGTTATACTGAGACTTTGCTTGACCTATTAAAGTCCAAATGACACAAAACTGCAGCCATTTGAAAGCTCTAAATGTCTGTTAAAAGTTGCATGTTAAAATTTTTCGGAAATTCCTGCTAGGTTGCAAGCTATACTTTGAATTGTGAATATATGTCACTATGGGAGAAATTAAGCAAGATTCAGAACGATACGTCGTACCTTTAATAATTAAGTAATGCTCAGTTATCAAATTGGAATCAGAATTTAGTTAGATTCCCCTCATAATTTGCGTGCTATGCCTCATTCTGTATATGCCCATGATTTATATGGACAACAGTGAATTTAAGTTGTATAGGAGTTATGATCCTAGGAATGGTGAATGTTCCTGAGCTCTTGAAAAGAGTAAATTATGAATGAATGAATGTTATGCATGCTTATACACGGAGCAACTGATATATGTGATTTCCGGCCACTATGTAATGGGTCCTCCATTAGTAATGGATACTCTGTTTATGTTATATGAATGCTTATATCTGACTGTTACGCAATGGGTCCTCCATTGGTAGTGAATGCTATGTTTTTGCTATATGAATACTGATATCTGACTGCTATGCAATGGGTCCTCCATTGGTAGTGGATACTCTGTTTCTGTTATATGAATATTGCTATCTAACTGCTACAAAATGGGTCCTCCATTGATAGTGGGGTATACTATACCTCAATCCATATGATAGGAGTAGAGTCCAGAGGTGACTGTAAATAATAGGGAGGGTCGCGCCCCCCCAAATTTTTTGGGCACTATGTATTGGGTCCTCTAATGGTAGTGTAATACCCTCTTGGCTGAGAGAACAATAGAGGGTCGTGTCTTGCAAGGCCTCAGCCTATCGGAAGCCCCAAAGCGTGTTTGGGATGTGTGAGTGAGTAAGGATATTACAAAGCGGGGTATCCACTTGTCATTATCCTCCCTCTTGAATGAGGAAGTCCCAAGTTCCAGGATTGGCTTAGCCTGATCGATGTGGCTTCTACTTCGGAAGTAATTTAATCTGTTTTGCTTATTTGAATTCTGTATTTTATATGACCACCTGATGTAACTTTGTTATGCATAACAGTTAATGTCATATTGAGAACAAGTAATTCTTTGTTGGTTGAGTCTTACTCTTTCTATACAATAATTATATGTACTTTGTAGTATGACCATACTCTGTATGACAAATGCAATCTCTGATGGACTATGGGCATGTTATTATATATATACTGATAGTCAGGAAGGCAAAGGCAGTGATCTATTTACTGGGCTTATTACTCACTCCGCTTAATTCTTCTGTGTAGATTGTTAGTACCTGATCGCGTGTGGCGAGCAACTGACTGGTGCAAGCATGCGTTCGGAGTTCAACCTGGTTCAGGATTTCTTTTTGGCCTTGTAAGTGTCTGGTGGCATTGCCACATGTTGTTCTGTTTGATGTAATATTTTGAGATGAATGTTAGGCTTGTGAGCCTCATACTTTATTGTAAAGACTTTTGAAGATTAATGAAGTTAGTGTTTTTAATTTATTCAGTTTCTGTACTTGTTAGATGAGCTTTTCTTTATTTATCGTGGTTTGCTTTGATTCTGCCCTCTTAACACGTATTGATGCCACTCCCACCTGAGTGATGTACGTGACCTCTGGTCGCGATCTCGCACTCTATTGCCCTCCAGTTTGGGATGGTAGGGGTCAGGGGGTGGGGTCGTGACACGAAACCTCCCCATCACATATTCCCATTAGGTTTCAATCGTAAACAATAAAATTATGACGCACTGCCAAATTTTATCATAAACAGATTTTGGGTAAAAAATAATTAGGATGGTGTGAGAAACATAGTTCAAATCAAGTAGATCTATAAAAAAAAAATTACAAATAACCGCCAAGCCTCCAACCAAACTTTTTTTCCCACTTTTTACCCCAAATTTAACTTTCCTAGCGAATACCCCCAAGTCATAAAAAAGGTAAAATGAAAACCATAATACCCTTCAGAAACCATGCAATCTAGCATGAAATGGGAGCGGTCCGGCACTTTGCTTATGGAATGCATGCAGTCCAGCACAAAATAGGGTGGTGGTCTGGCACTTTGGGCATGCGGTCCGGCACAAAATGGGTGTGGTCTGACACTTTGGGCTTCTGGAAAGCATGTGGTTCGACATAAAATAGTAGTGGTCCGGCACTTTGGGCATGCGGTCCGACACAAAATGGGTGCAGTCCAACAGTATGGCCGTTTTCTTCAAAAAAATATGTTTTTTTTTACTTGGGGGCTATTTTCTAGAAAAGTTCAATTTGGGATAAAAGTTGCTTAAAAAAACTTTGCTCGGGGTGGGTTGTCTAGAGAGTCTCATTTTGAGGTTTTTTTTGTAATTTTCCCAACTATAAACTCATAAATACCTAAAAAATAGACCGTTCAGATAATGTGTTATACAATATACTCTTTTTGGGACTAAGAATATCTATATATATATATATATATATATATCGATGTCGAGATGATCAATTAGAAGGTTTTCCAACATCAAAACAACGTCTTATGATGAACCTTTTAGGTGCACTTTAATTCTGCATTCTAAAGTTGCAACCCTATATAAATTAGTGCATAAAATATATACTTCAACATATAATTTTTTTTAATTTCTAGAACCGCATCCATGTGACACCTATTCGGATCTGACGGTTGCCATCCCCATAACGCGGAGCGCCAGGTCCTACATACCCTTTTCAAAGACGCGCTCGATGACTTTTAATGCCATCCCCATAACGCGGAGCGTCAGGTCCTACACAACCTTTTTCTCCTGGTGTTCGATGATGTGTGGAGTGACAAAATTTGGGTTGAGGTAGAAACTTATTTGTTAAAATGTAAGCCTGGAAGCAGGGTTATCCTCACGACCCGCACAAAGGACCTCATTTCCATACCAGGACACGACCCGCACAAAGGACCTCATTTCCATACCAGGACAGGTAAAGAGTCATCAGCACATCCTTGATCCCTTAACAGATGAAGAGGCATGGCTTTTGTTTAGAAAGAATGCAGTTCAAGAAAGAGAACTCTCTGGAGATTTTAAAGAGGTGAGAAGACTTATTGTGAATAAATGCAAGGGTCTACCCCTTGCAATCATGGCCATGGCAGTTATTGTGTCCAGGAAAGCCATGGAAGTGGGAGATTGGATTGATGTTTTAGACATAATCCATAGGACTACACCTAACAATACGTCATTAAATGGGATTTTGTCTACGAGTTATAATGCAGTGCGCCCTCTCCTCAAATATTGTTTCTTGTACTGTGCTTGGTTTCTAGAGGAATACAAGATTAAAAAAACCATGTTGGTTAGATTATGGGTTGCTGAAGGATTTGTAGAAGCACAACGAGGGAAGTTCGAGGAGGCTGCAGAGGATTGTATGAAGGAACTTCTTGACAGGAACTTAATTCAGGTGGCAAGCAAGACAATCACCAGAGAAATTTGATCATGCCAGGTCCATGTTGTGGTGCGCCAGCTTGCTCTATCTATTGCAGAGAAGGAGAAATTTGAGCAAGTTCTAACATATGAATCTTCCACATTTGCTGATAAAACATTGCACCTCTCAATCCACGAGAGCAATATCAATGGCGTGCTTCCTAACCACAAGCTGAAAACACGCACTCTTCTAAATTTTGGTGAGGACATCTTGCCCTTTACCTTACAAACCAGAATTTCCAAGTTAAATTTTGTGAGAGACAATGTATCTCATACCTCACAATCGGATTTATCGAGGTTAAGCTCCCTAATAGTTTTGGACTTCGACGGGGTTCAAATTGAAAGGCTGCCTAAGCAGATCAGAAAATTAATTCATTTGAGATATCTAGGGTTAAGAAATACAGGGATTCTGAAACTCCCAAAGTATTTGAAATACCTTCCTAGACTGGAAACCTTGGATGTGAGGGGCTCTAATTTAGAATCATTTCCCAAAGAGATCTCAGTTCTGCAACACTTGACCCACCTGCTTGTAAGTCGGCGAAGAAATTCTACCGAGCAAGCAATTAATGAAGTACCTAAACTCTATAAAAAACTCAACCATGATGAATACATGCAGCTGAATATCCATGTGGAGGGTTGGAAAAGCCTTCAAACGCTGAAACGCGCAACTGTTGAGGGAACTGTTGTCAAAGAATTGTCCAAGTTGATCAAACTCAAGAAGCTATGTGTCCAGGTTGTGAGTGAGGGGGATGGGATGCAGATAATGGAGTCCATCAAAAACATGTCTGACCTTGAAACCTTGTCTCTAGTGGATAAAAATAGCCAAATATCCTTGCAATCAATGACTTGCCCGCCAACGGGACTCGGGCAACTAAGTGTGGATGCAGTTTTAGGCGAGTTACCGAGCTGGTTGTACAGCCATAGGCATCTAAAGACTCTGTACTTGGGGTCTTCTGCATTAGATGTTGATCTACTGGTGGCCTTGCAATCTTTGCCCAATTTGGCGAGGCTTACACTTTCTAAGGCTTACAGTGGAAAGAGAATGGGAGTTGGTGGCCTCAATGGATTAGAAAACTGAAGCATCTTGGGCTTTATGACTTGGAGGAATTGGAATGGTGGGGTGGGATGCAAAATGGATCCATGCCACTACTTGAGAACCTTAGCATCATTGGGTGCAAGAAGTTGAAGAAGTTGGATATAAGCATTAAAAAAATCACTTCTCTCCGGTACTTTCTCATTGGAAATATGCCAGAGATGTTCATAGAAAGATTGGATTCATATAAAGGAGAAGACTACCACATTATACAACACATAGCAATAGTAGATATATTTCATGATTGATAAAGTGCTTTATGTGGAATCAAGTTGTTGATGGTTATAACAACTAGATATTGGGTTTCTTATCTTATGGATTACAAGATATTGAGTTTTTTTTTTTGCAGGATTACAGTTGTTATAAGATTTGTTTCTAAATGAAAAAATTGCAACTCTACAAATCTCTTGTAAACCAGAGTAATCCCTGTGATACGAGAGATTGGCTTATCCTATGTGGACGTAGGCACCGTAGCCGAACCATATGTATGTCTTGCTGATTCTCTCTCTCTCCACTTGGATTGCAAAATTTGCAAAACTGGTTTTTTGCAAAATGTTTTGCATTTTGTGGACGTTTCTCTTGTAATGTAAAAGATTTGCAAACTGGTTTTTGGAATGCAAAACTTTACATTTTGTGCGCCCTCAAGTGGACTATAATATTGTTGAAGACTTGTCTCATCCTCCGAAAGCCATGGCAAACCCATGACAAAGCGGCCAATATAAGCAACTTACATTGAAGGAAATTAAAATGTTATTGGCATTGTAAGCATTTAATTCACAGGAAGTTGTATGCACCATAGTTATCGAGTAGCTCTCTCGCTCCGGAATCTTACATCGGCATTCACCAGCCGGGATCTCACTCGGACCCCGTTCCCAAGTTTTTGGGATCTCGCTCCAATTTTTAGGATTCTCAATCCTATTAACAACGCAGCTCCCTCCCTCTACATCAGGGATCTCGCTCCCATTCAAAATGGAGCTCGCTTCTTCGATTTCATGGATCTCGCTCTCATTCACAACGGATCTCTCTCCCGTTAACGGATCTCGATCCCTTACACAACGGAGCTCGTATTGCCTCATGGAAAGCATTCTGTAACATTGTAGATGTGGTTCTTGAACAAATTAGATGCCCGCTCCAAGAATTTCAAGATCGCGATCCCGACATTCTCGGAACTAGATCCAAACATGGCTGTGACCCCGATCCTATAATCTATGGAGCTCGCTCATGAGGAAATTGGATCCCGATCCCAAAAGTATAAGGTCCTCGATTTATGAAATCCCGGATTGCGACTCCTAGGAACTCAGACGTTAACTCCATGTCTATTTATTTGTTCATTGTAGTCGGTGATTCATACGTGCAATGGGCATTTAATTGTGCCTATAGTAATTCCAAAAAAAAAGGCTTAATTTTGTATATGGTGTGGTTTCTAAAAGGTTACAAATTACAAACTTAAACAATCCAATTAAGGTGCAGCTCTAACTTTTATCATAATATGGAATTTTGGTGCAATTTTTTCTTTAAGATTATCTAAAATCCATTTTCATTTTTAATTATAAAATTTTAATCTCCAAATATGGTTAAAATTGAGTTGATCTATAAGCCTATGTAAATTTGAAAATGGACGGTCAAGATAATGTGTTGCAAGATACAAAATTCTTCGTACAATTGAGAGTATTACTAGATTGATCAAAAACATTTGTGGTACATAAGGTAGTGCACACAAACAAAATAGAGGTTTTCCTTGGAGATAGAAAGACTCAAATATAGAGAGTGAAAAAGACAAAGCTTAGAAAGACTCAAATATAGAGAGTGAAGAAGACAAGACTTAGAAAGACTAAAGTTTGGATGTACCCAAAATTGCAATATTCTCAAATGGCAAGAAAAAAAGATCGAAGATAAGAACCGTTTGGAAGGATAGCCTCATAAAGATTTCTAGTTGATTAAGAAAGGGGTGAGGTTTGTCTAAGGTGTCAACCTTATAAGGTGTGCCTCAAAACTATGGCAGAAATGTAGTTTCGGTGCCTCAAAACTATGGCCAAAATGTAGTTTCGGTACCACTAAGCCTTGCAATAATGTGAAAATCTATTTTTACTATCAATTATAAAATTTAAATTTCTAGAAATGGTGACGATCAAGAAAATTTATAAATGCTTCAAAATCTTGAAATGAACGGTCGAGATAATGCGTTAGAAGATGAATTAGTTTTAGGACAGCTCAATCTCTTCTTTTTTCATGTCTATGAATCTCGAGGTCAAGATAATCTATTTGAGAGTTTTTTAGCAAGGAAGGACCTCCATTAGTGGGTTTTATAGGTGCACCTTATCCGTACAGTATAAGGTTTTAGAGAGAGAGCGAGAGACCTGAATTTCTAAATGGATTTTAGAAAGGAAATATGAGACTAGTGTTGAAAAATATCGTTGGAAGGTATTTTTCATCAACATGGGGCCCCCACTCAATAAAGGCCTAGCAAGTACTAGAAATTTGGACAGTCTCATAACAGCCTCATAACTGGCTAAGGTCTTCATGAGGTCTCTCAAGAATCTTTTGCCAATATTTGTCGCATTCCGACATGTTTAAGGTAGCGCCGACTGAGAAATAGTTCTCGCAGAATCGACCTCTAGCAGCCTGAAACGGACCCCTATAACTAGAGCTACCTTTGCAGTACCTCAAATTGCTGTGGGACCACTACCATTGGATCTGACATGGTTGAAAATCCCCAAAGGTCAAGTTTCAGCTCAAACGGACATTCTAGAAAGAAGTTATAGGCAAAAAAGTGAAACAGGAGAAGCCGCACGCTCTCGTGCGGCCACCCAGCAACACTACACCATTGAAGGGACAGTCACGACCAATGAATTTTGATGCTCATGTCTCACTCATCCTAGGTCAGATCACACTCAAATTTGGTGAGCATGTTCGTTTAGTCAAGACGAGCGATTCGATATGTGGCACGCCCCGTGATGATACCTGAGCATGAAGAAAAGCTAGAGAGAAGTTACTGATCCATGAACAAACGTGCAGGAAATTCAGCAGCATCGTGCCTCGCTCGAGTGGCCAAATTACGTCGCTCACGAGCTTGATCTATGTGAGACCAATTCCATTGCGGGCATAAGGTCTTGAGCCATCTCTGACCCGAACCCCGTACATGATTAATGGTCGGATTCTATACACGAAGCCAATGAACAAGCCGCTAATTCCGTCATCGGAATCTTTGATTTCAGCCAAAGTGCCAAAGTCACAAAATCTTCGTTCGGCCATAGAATCAAGCTGCGTTTGGTGCCTTGTGATCGTAGTGGCATGCTCAGTGTGATTTCAGCATAGAAAACACGTAAAACATCAAGGAACGAACACACTATCGATCCAAAGTTTCAAGATCTATTCAAAATTCAAGTCACATGATCGTGCACGAAAAACACAATCCATGGCTTGAAGTTGGTATCAAATCGATTGTTATGTCGAGCCCTACAAAAAAATAATCATCTTACGATCAACTAGGCACCAGACCTACCCCGGATTAGCCATGCAAGATCATGCAAGTCTAAGGGCAACACAGGGACTGTTATGGAATTCCACAATTTGTTAGAAAGAGGCAAATCTGTCATTTTGCACCTATTTTCTAATTTTTTTCAATTCAATTTAATCTTAATTTCTAGCAATTAGGGTTAATTTTGATCATCCACCCATGTTTGGGGTATACTTGTATATACGTACCATGATTGTACGGAAAAAAGAAGAGGCAGAGGCATACACATACAAGAGAGTTTTCAATTAATACAAGTTTCTCTTTCTTACCATTGTGGTGTAATGTTTGAAAGAGAGAGTGAGGTGAGAGAAATTTTTTTACTGGTACCCCTAGGGTTGTGGTAAACCTTCTCTCTCTTCTTTCCCTTTTTTTCTTCTCTCGCTCTTCTCCCCTCTCTTCTCCCCCTTTCTCATCTGAGTTTCTTGCAGAGGTCGTGCACGGCAGTGGCAGTGCCGTGCATGCCTCTCTCTTGGTCCCACAGGTTGTTCATGGCGATAGCAGGGCCATGTACGAGTCCCCCTCCGCTTCTATTCATCTGTCTCTTTCTTTTTAATGAAGTCTATAGATGGCGCTGCCTATTGCCGCCCGCAGACATAGCAGTGCGTCTCGATGAAGAACCCAGACAACGAAGCTTGTTGCCGCCTGCAGGGGTCTCCCTCTATTGCACGTCTAGCGGAGACAGCGATACCTATCGTCCCCCGCTAGAGGCTCTGGTGACACCCATTACTGTCCGTGAGCTTCCTCCACGAGACCGGCGCCCATCGCCATTCTCCTTGCATCCCGTGCCTATCGTCATGTGACGTAGGAGAAGCTATCACCGTGTGCCTCTTCAGGAGCTGGCACCGTCCACAAGGGATGCGCCGTCTCCTTACATTGTCCACCGCGATGCCTATTGTCCAGACTTCCCCTTCTCTTTGTCGTCTCGTTCTTTCCTCTTTACCTCTTTCTCCTCTCACTTGACTGAGGGTAGACCTAGCCTATCACTGACATGCCGACCGTGATTTCGAGTAGTACTGCCGCCGTGCTAGTCATAAGAACCATGCCCGTCTTACTACCACTCCGAGTTGGTAATTTTTGGTAGTCATGCTAGTCTCACCCCCACGTCAAGCTCTCTTCTCATTTCTTTCTTTCAATGAACCTTGCACTTCATCGCCTTCTATTGTGAATGTGCATTGCCCTAAGATAAGGGTGGGTTCCTTCGACCCACTAGTCTTACAAATTAACCTTAGAAGTGTTGTGCAGAAAAACAAAAGGATTACAGGTCAAGGGAGGCCATTCTGAACCAACTCAAGTAGCTAAGGGGCTTTTTTCATGATCTAAGACGATATCCACACGAGCCAGCCCGGGTAAGTCCCGAACTCACATAAAATTCCTCTCATTAGTAAGTATACCTGCCCTTGCTATAGAGCAAGGTTCCGAGAGAGCAATCTCAAATATCAAGTTCCCCAAAACCCGAGACGAGTGCCAC